CTGATGGCCTCAAATTGTGCTGGGGGTGGGGTTCAGGTTGGATACAGGGAAAAAATTCTCAGCAAGAGCAGTGATGCCCTGGCCCTGGCTGCCCAGGGAGTGGTTGAGTCAGCATCCCTGCAGGTGTTGCAGAACTGATGTGGCACTGAGGGATGTGGTTGGTGGGGAGGGGTTGGGGTTGGACTGGGTGATCTTGGAGGTCTTTCCCAACCTTAATGATCATGTGATTCCGTGACGTTTTGTTGGTAACACCAGCTGTGGGAAGGAGTTGCTGGCCTCTTTCCCATGCTCCCAGTGGATGCTGGGCTTTGCTGTCAGCTGGATGTTCAGAGCTGTCTCCACAAGCCTGTGGAGATGAGCCCTGAGGAGTCTCAAGCCTTGTCTTGCAGAGACGAAACAGCACATCCATCATTGTCAGCACGCTCTACATCGACTTCTCGGTGGGTGACCAGGAGGACATCCACCGGTACGAGGTGCAGTGTGAGCCCAAGAGGAAGGAAGCCTCCGTGTCCCTCATTGCTGGTCCTGACCCACACAGGCTGAGCCAGGCAGAAAATATGGTAGATGTGAAGCAGAGAGGGGTGGGAGCGATGGATGCCCACGAAACCAAGAGCCAGGACACCAGTGATATCGTCTTCATCAGCATCTGCATTTTGGCTGGGCTGCTTATGGTCATTGCTGTGGTTGGGCTTGTGCTGCTGTAGCAAACTCAAGTTGGAAACGTGGTCCCCAAAACCACCCTTGCCCCAAGTTTAGTGCTAACACAACTGCTGAAATGGAGATGGTGAAACAAAGCCTGAGCCCAACCTCCACCTCCCACGCCTGAGATCTGGGTGGTAGGCAGCCATTTTCCTTCCCATCAGTTTTCCTCTGTCTCTCAATCTGTCCATTTGGCTCAGGAATGCACTTCTTATGCTCTGTAACTATTCCCACACCTGCTTCAATTTGTTTTCCCGCTGGTGCCTCTACTTTCGGGAAAGTAACGCTGTTTGCTGATGGCTGGAAGTAATCCTGTCAACTGCTGAATTCCTGAACATAGCAACTACCCCCAAATATAGCAATATTTGTAACAAACGTTCTCCTTGTTCCCCATCTGTACTGGTGTGGGCACTGTGGATCCGTACTGCAGACATCAGCATCTCCCCTCAGTGTGCGGTGATGGGTACAGCACGTGTGGGTGCTTTTGGGTGGTGTTTCTACATGCCCTTACACCATGTCTCAAAGGATCATTAGGGCTGGAAAAGACCTTTGGGATCCAACCCACCCCACCATGCCCACTGCCCATGTCCCTCAGTGCCACATCCCCATGGTTCTGGAACACCTCCTTGTCCATGGGATGCTGCAGGTCACATGCAGTGCTTTCCAGGCTGGACAAAAGTCCCTTGTAGCTGCCTGGGTGCTGGGCTCTCTGCCACCCTCCTGGCCTTGGGCAACCTTTTCCATCAATGGGGCTCTGTGCGCGCTGTGCTCACTGAGCTGTGAGGGTGATGGTGGTGCTGGGGGTTTGCTCATCGCTGCAACAAGTGATGCAATGCAGTATGTGAGCTATACAGAGAGCTAACAGAGAGGGCTGGCAGGAGAAAGGAAAGGTGTAACTGGGGGCTGGAGCTGTGCTGCTCTTGTAAGTTAATTCTGATAAGAATGTTGTGTTCATCTCTTCACTAAGGGGGGTGAGGCTCTGGCACTGCTGACCAGAGAAACGTGCGTGTCCCACCCCTGGGATGCCATATTGAGCATTGAGCTTATTCCTTCAGTGGACTGGGTGCAGACCCTACTGCTTCAGCGACTCCCTCCAGGGCTGTTTTTTTCTCTCTCCACCACATCCCGTGGCTGAAAGCAGTCTGCTTCAGGGATGAGGTGCTTGTTAGAGGAAATGCTCCTCAAAGGTGGGGCAGATGCAGGTGTTCCCAAATGGGACATGTTCAGGGTTTGTATGCTGTGGCCCCAGCAAGGTCATGTCCTGCTCGGAGGCCATGAAGTCCAGCTCTGAACCTGCTTTAACTCCTTACATCATTTTTCTTCTCTCTCACATAATGCCTGGAGTGAGGCAGCTCTGCTCCTCTAATCTGTGCTCCCTGCACACCCCGCAGCCCACTGCCACCCCTTCACCACCCTGCAGGTACCCGATGGAGCACAGCTGAGCAGGCAGCAGCCACCAGCCCCGCCAGCTGGGGAAGCATAATGGATCCAGCATATGGGCGATTAAAAATGCAAGGACAGCGTTTGCAGGGAGCTGTTGTTTCCCAGCTTATTTTAAGCAGCCATCTCTCCCATTTCTCGGTCGTCGCAGCCCAGAGGACAGTGAGGTCATCCTCCCCGTGCTCCTGGGGATTGGGTGTGCAGAGATGAAACGGGGCATCAGGGAACACGGGAAGCTGCTACGTTCAAAGGATGGTGTTGCCTTAAGGATCACTCTAAATCTGTGCTGCCCGCAGCCCTATCCAAGCATCTCCTGGGCTCTGGCCGTGGGAGGAGCTCTCTCCCAAAGCCAGCACTGTGGTGGGTTTGGGGGGTCTGGGCTTGAGGCATCGTCCTTCTCCTCCTCCCTCCATTGGTGTCACAATGTAAAGATTTCAGTTTAGGCAAACCAGTGGCTGCACAAAAGCAATCCTGCTGTTTGGGCAGGCTGTGCTGCGGGAAGAGCGCCTGTCCATGATAGGGGCACCTTTTATAGGGAGATAACTGCTTGGTGTATAATAATATATAATTAGCAAGGATTATCCTGTAATCTAGTCTAATTGACAGGGACCATAAATGTTGCCAGCAGAAGAATTTAGAGCAGTGCTAATTGCAGTATAACCCTGGCATGCCCTTCCGCTGGTGTCATCCCTCAGGATGCCTGAGCTCCTCTGTGCCTCAGTTTCCCCTGAATCCGGGTGCTGGGTGTTCAGGAGCCACCTGGCTGGGTCTTCACAGCTCCTTTTTGGTTCTATAAGCCAAGCATTGGGTTTGCCACCCTGGCAGTACTGCAGGGGAAAGTTGGTGCAACACTGGGGCTGTGGTTCTGCAGCCCCCAGAAGCAGCTGGGGCCCTGGGGGTTGTGAGAGAGCATCTGGGGCTGCTCCTTGTCTCAGCATCTCTTCTTCCAGGGCCAGCTCAGCAAAGCATTCAGATCACAGAGAGAGAGATCTAAAAGTTTGGGTTCTTTGTGGAGAAACCTTTGAAGAGCCTCTTAAAAGACAAGCAAGGCTGAGGCACTGCACTCTCTTTTTCAGGAAGGAAGGGAAGGGTCTCACCTGTTCCCTTCTTCTTTCGCCCCAGCAATTTGCAGCACTGTGAAGCTTTCCTTCACTGCTGCCTCCCAAACCTGTGGGTTTGCTCTTCAGAAGTCCTTAAACCATTCCCCTGTTGTCTGTGCTTCCTGCTTGCTGCAGCTCCCCAGCCCAGCCCTTGGGGAGCTCTCCCAATTCCCCCGCTCAGTGAATCTTCATCCCACGTGTCCCTGCAGCTTTAACATCACCCTGCAAGAGCTGGACCCAGAGCTCTGCGCTTGGGTCCCTTGGAAAAATTGCTGTGAAAGTATTAGCCATAAAATAGACCAAATTTATTCGAGTTTACTGGTGTGCAGTAACTCTGCACTCCTGGAGTTAATTCCCAAAAGAGAAATACTCAGCATGGACTGAGAATGAGGCCAAAAAATATCTTCTCTGCAACGTGTGCTTCAAAGAGCTGAAAGGCATCCAAAGTAGTTGGAACAACAACTGCTTCTCCCTCAAGTGTGTTCAGAAAAGAAAGGTGTCAGGGGCCAAGAGAGATGTAGATAAAGTCACCCAGAAGAGTTGGCCATGTAGAGCCCTGTTCATGTCTATGTGACCTTGTTTTCAAATTTTACAGCACTACTACGGATAGCATCTGGTAAGCATCCACATCTCTTTCCTCTATGTGGCAGGTATTGGCATTGCAGCTATGGAAACAAAACCTAAGACACTCATTGATCCTGAACTCCTTTTGTGACAGTCCAAGCTGGGTGAATTCAATTACAGCCTGAAGCTAAGTGGGAAATGGATCTGATTACTTGTAAGAAATTGAAGGTTTTCACATCTCTTGCTCCAGACTGGTCATAAAGTGTCAGGTCTTTACTGATGCACTGTCCTCAGTCACCACTCACATCTGCCAGGTTCTGTCTCCAGCACACCTACCCATGCTTTGGATGTCGTAGTGTCCAAAGGAGTATTTAGCAGACCCACTTACTGACACCCAGCCCTGTTTTAAGATGAAGATCTGAATACTGCATCACTTTCACACCACGTTATTTGTTCTTAAGGGCCTCCCCTGAGGTCAGTGTTGACCACGACTGATCAAAGCACACCTCCTTACGCTGCATTACCCTTCAGTTCCCATGCCTGTGAACAAGCAGGTTTCACTCATCCCAGCACTTGACTCTTTCAACCCCGTTAACTCAGAAAATGGATTGTGACCAGTGCTTTGTACATGCACAGAGAACAGAGAGCACTTTATTCTCCACCACTAGAGAAAGACTGTGCCTGTCACACAGCCTTAATAACAGCATACAGAGAGCAAGATGACTTGTGGCACTAAAGAAACCAGAATACGAAAGGCAAGGTTTCCAGGTTTTAATAACTAGCAGCAATGCAAACAATAGTTTGTTACTTAAATCTATTTACACCATCATTCTGAAACATGCTCTTTACAGAGAAAAAAAGCCTGGATGTGGAATGTTTTCCTCACAACATAATTGTATCTTAAAAATTCATTTCAAGGTGGGGTTTATTTTTTAACGTTACACTAAGAATAAGCACCACATTTCAATCATGAGTGAGGTCTGGAAGTCAGAACGAGCTGCTCATTAAGCAGAGGTATTAAATAGCACCTTTACCCCAGGGCATTTCAGTTATCACCCCAGGGTTTCAGAAAATGCCCACCACTGCAGGGTGACTGAGCCTATGGAAGGATGGATAGAAAACAGAATCACAGAATGGCCTGGGTTGAAAGACCACAGTGATCGTCTAGCTTCAACCCCCCTGCTATGTGCAGGGTCACCAACCACCAGACCAGGCTGCCCACAGTCACATCCAGCCTGGCCTTGGATGCTTCCAGGGATGGGGCATCCACAACAAAATCATCAAAACTCGTTTTGTATCCCACTGTGGATGCAGGGGAAATCACCTGGCTTGGCTAAACAGGGCTCAGCCACAGCAGACTTGGCTGATTTAGGATCAATGAGGGTTTGCAGTTATCCATTAGGAACCTCCTCCCATGAAGCAATCGCCCCGATTTTCCACTATTTCTCACCAGCACAGAGATGGTGCTTTATGCCATTCAGCTAATTACACCTGAAGATCCACGTCAGAGATGGAGCTGAACTGAGGTATGACAAACTGACAACAGAAAGAGGTGAGTGAACAGGGGCGGCTTTAGACCAGGAAAATACACAGCAGAGCAGAAGAAACTTTTTTGTGCAGCAACCCCACGCAGATTTAAAGCACTGCTTTCATCACTAGAAGTTCCTGTCCTCAGCCAAGTGAGTCACACTGTCAGCACTTCGGCAATCCCCTTGTGACAGAAAGGGCTCCCAGTTCCGCAGAGACGCAGGCACATGAAGTTCTCGCTCGGCACTGAGCACGACACCTCACTTCTTATGGCTCTGCACAAACGCGGGGACGGTGAGCGCGCCAGCCTTGACTTCTGCTCTGGTTTCAGGTTTGTGCTTTAATGAGAAGACAAGAGCTCGCACCATTCTGCGATACGGCGCGCTAATGAGACGTGAAGAGAGATGAAAAGCTTCTCGCTCAATATTTTCAGCCAGTGGGTGATCAATCTGAAAAACAGCAAAGTATAAAATTAGATCTTTACATTTAATAAGGAGACCAACTGATTGAAATTGGAGTTTGGTGCTTTTCGGTGTTTCTTCATTAATCAGCGTAGATTCAAGGAAATCTACTTCTCATCACAAGTGCAACAGGAAGAACAATTTAATTCTACCCTAGCAATTAAGGAGCAAGGCAGCATGGTCAGTAGCAGGGAACATATTCACACGTCCAGCTGGGCGGCAGTGCTTTGCCATCACGACAGGAAACTAATCTGCAACTCGCCTTGGGTTCCAAGTGGAACCACAATTAGAGGCTATGATGTGCTCTGTGTGTTGTGCTGTCTCTGTGAAGCTCACTTTTTGATCCTGCTGATATAAGGCACCTCGGATGCTATTTTAAACTCAGTTCCAGTAGCAACTATAAGACATGCCAAACACTTGGCAACTCTGCTTGGTGCTATAAAGGGAGATGCAGGCTCTGCGTGTGTAAAAGGAGGTATAATTAAGAATGCAGAAAGGGATTTACTAAATGTTAATTACGTAGTTATTGCTTCAACATGTGCCAAAACCTGTAATTTAGAAGAGCTTAGGAAAAAAAAAAACAGCCTGCCCATCAAGAAGTGGTTTTAATTTCACTTCTGCTTTTTGTGACAGGGAATCTCCCATGCTGCTCATACAGGAGATTCCAGTGTGTCAACCAATACTCCTCCAAGTCCTTTGCTCACCACTTTCACTCTCTTTTTGCTACCCAAAACTAAATTACCCCTCCGCTGGAAAGCACTTGGAGCCCTATTGTATCCATTCAGCCCCATTCTCCCCTTCTAATCAGCTTGCTTTCCACTTGCTTAACCTCTGTGGCTCCCCTACCTCTAAAAATTGTCCATCCTCCAGATACAAGCTCTACTTGTACATGCAATGGCAGCTGCAAGCCACAAGGGTAGATTTCCTTGCCATACATTTAGGTAAGTCCTCTTCAGAATTAATTCTGCCTTGTCCTACCTTACCCAGTACCCTCTATTTGGGTGGCTTTGTAGCCTTCATGTCTCCTAGGCTCGAAATTGACCGCCAGCCTTATTGCTGTGCTTGACCCCACAGGGAGCTCCTCACATAATCATCCCAAAGCACCCTCACACTAAATGATCTTTTTGCTCTGCCCCAGCCCAGATGGATGAGAAGTTGGAGAGGTTGTTCTCATAGCTGGCAAACACATAGCTGTGAAATTCTTGAGTGCTTATCACTTTTCTTGCTGTTTAAAGGACAACTAATGAATAAATTAAAGAGATAACTATTACAGTGTTTCATAGACCAAGCAAGCAAGTTGTTCAGCCTCACAGCAAAACTCTGTTCATTTACTTAAAGACACCAGAGGGATCTAGTAATTATTGCCATTTTACATACTGTCAAACTTGCCTCTATGTTTTTGCAATAGATTTCAATTTACAAATGTTTAATTACTTAAATATGAAATGCCCAAAGGTCCCAGTGTTGCTTTAACTGCTGACAACTAATAGTCAAAACTTTATGTTCTGCTAACTTCCTCCTTCTCTTATCCAACCCAACTACAGTACATACACAGCTACTCTATTGGCTGGTGATGTAAATGAGATCACATGTACAATGTACAATTAGCGTGTTTACTTGTTTAATAACAAAAAACCCCCACAAATCTACCTTTAACACAAAGCTACTGATAAATGGCGAGATACATCGCTGAAAACAGGAACTTTTGTCCCCACTCTGCTGCTAGGACCAGTTTTAGGGTAAGCCAACGAAGGCTCATCTAACCTGTTCCTATGAGCGGCTACTCTTTGAGGTGGAGATGAACACTACCTCTAGATCCAGGGCTTCACAAAGCAGCTTCCGTGCGTTCTTTCTGAAAGACTCAGTCTTGGGATCACTCTTGACTTCTATTGAAGGCCTATTTGAGTGGTGTTTGATGAAAGTTCTCCATTCCATGTAAACATCTTTGGCAAGGCTGGCCACATCATGATCGGAATGTTTGCGCATCCTGTTCACAGTGTGACCTGAAAAAAAGGCAGCAAGTCACACAGTTTTGGTAAGTGGACAAAACATACACTGGTGCTGGGCAGCCAGACACATCTTTAATTCAGGCAGTGTCAGAGTATTGGCACAAATGTAAGCATAAAATTACTCAGAATAAAGCCTGAACTTCACACTCCTGGACTCCTGCAGGGATTTTGCTTGAGAAATTAGCAAGGAATGAAGCTAAACACTTGAAAATTATTTTCTCAAGTACGGAGACATACTGGGTCTAGTGAAAGCTTGTATAATTGGCCTAGATCTACTTTTTCTTTTTTTTTTTTTTAACTGGAAACCCTTTAGAGGAGGACGCAGAGCTCCCGCCCTGCACGCGGACCTGCTGAGCGAACAGATTCCTTTGGGAGCGCACCCAGCGCGCCGCTCCCCGCCCGGCAGCACCGTTGGCCACCAGGTGGCGCTGTGCGGCTTCTGCGACTGCGGCAGCCGGAGGCGCTGGGCACGGGGCAGAAGCGCGGTACCTATTTTTGTGGACAGTAACACTTCCTTGGAAGGGATTTTCTTCTTCAGTTCCCCCAAAGCTTCCATCAGGTTTTCTTTAGGCTGCCCGGGGAGCTCGAGCATCGCCTTCCAGCGCTTTATGTCTTCCACCACGACCACCCTCTGGAAAAAAGCCAATGGAAATACTCTTATGAACGAGGCTTCCCCGCAGCTAACGGGGCCGCTACCGACGCGCCGTAGGCTACGTGAGCCGGCGCGCACAGCACGGGGACTCGCCTTCAGGGACTCGAGCGTGGCCTGCCGGTAGGCGCGGGGCTCCGATCGGACCCGGCGGGGGCTCTGCGGTGAGCGGGCCCGGCGCACCACGAACCGCTCCATCCTCCCGCCGGAAGCCGCCACCCCGCCCCGCCCTGCGCGCTGCGTAGTTCCCGCCGCCGGGTACGGCCGGTGGGGCCCGTCAGGCGGCGCGGACTACAGCTCCCGGCAGGCACCGCGCGGAGGAGAGCTGCGATCTCGCGGGATCATCTCGCGAGAGGCTACCGGCGGCCGGTCCCATCAGAGCAGGAAGATGGCGGCGCGGCGGGCCGGTCTGCTCTGCCTGCCTGCGGCCCTGCTGCTGCTGTGGGCGGGAGGCCGCGCTCGGGCTGCAGGAGTCGTGCCCGCCAGCTCTTCCGAGGCCTTTGACTCCGTGTTGGGCAACACGGCTTCCTGCCACCGCGCCTGCCAGCTGACCTACTCCCTGCACACCTATCCCAAGGTACGGCTGAGCCCCGCCTCGCAGCTCGGCCCCGCGCCCCTCTCCTTCCTCCCGGCCCGCCTGACGTTGTCACCTCCTGAAGCACGGAGCGCGGTGCTTCGTACAGAGACGTGTTTCTTCTTGGAACTGGCTGTTAGGCTGTGGCAAATACAGCTTTCAAAGAGTATTTACGTTTTAGTGGTGGCAGTTCCGTGGGGTTGGGGGTTGCTTCTCCTTTCCTCCTATTCCTGAAGAGGCAGCTGTTATTTGGGTTGGGACTCTCCGTGTTTTGGGGACTAACGCTGTGCTGTGTCCATAGCCAAGGGGCCTGGGCCAAGACGCGACATGGTGCTCGAACTGTGGGGGATGAAGCATCAAAGATGGCAAGCGAGTGGCCTGACAGAGCTGCCAGTGATGTTTAGATTCACTTGCATAGAAAATGTCCATCTCAGGATAGTCAAATAATATCTAACAGGGATATAATTACATATTCAGGAGTTTGCTATTGGTTCAACGGTTTGCACAGCTCAGAATTTAAATGTAACATTTGCTGCCCAGAAGGGTTGTGGATGCCCCATCTCTGGAGGTGTTCAAGGGGAGGATGGATGAGGCCCTAGGCAGCCTGGTCTGGTATTAAATGGGGAGGCTGGTGGCCCTGCCTGTGGCAGCAGGGTTGGAGCTTCGTGATCCTTGAGGTTCCTTCCAACCTGGGCCATTCTGTGTGATTCTGTTGTTTTTTTTTTTTTTCTTTCACTAGGAACGTATTTCATTGCTAACTGCAGCTGTATAGCAGCTTGAACTCCGAATGATGGGAGTTCTCTTGTCCCTGAGATTGCCAGGGCAGCAGGCAAATGGAAGGAAGTGGTGCTAATATGAGGTAGCAGGGCTTTGTCTGCTTTCATATGAAATTAAAATTGGTGCTTGCGGTGCAGCACCTGATTCTGGTATCTCTACAGGGAGGTAATGGGGAGCTGTGTGGAACACAGGTAAAATTAGATCTGGATGTGTGATGTGTTTTGGTGCCTATGTGTGATGATAGTGAGGAGAAAGACCTGAACCTGGGAAATTGAGGCTAAACGTTCTCCTAAAATAGGAGAAAGTCCATACTGTGCTGGCACTTCAGGTAAAGCTGATGCTTCTGTGATTTTTAATCTGCCTGTGAACTTGTTTTGTGTTGCTGGGAATGTTGAATAATACAACCACCTGTTTTGTCACAGTTTGTTTGATTTCTCACAAAACCACCAGGTGAACGGAAGGAAATTGTTTTAGTTGGAGAGTAAGTTGATTTTTTACTAAGGCTTCTGTGGAAGGATGCCACAGAAATCTGTTTGCTACAGCCACTTCTGTGTGATATTAACAGACAGCACATATTTTCTGTAACAGCGTAACTGTTTTAGCCATTCTGTCTGTGTTAAGTGTTAAGTTTTATCTGTGTTTTCAGCTTAGCTGCTTTTAAAGCATGTGAACTTGTGCTCTCAAACAATGACAGTGCACTTACAGTAGATTGTACAGTAAGGTGTGGTGTATTTGTTTTTGGTGCAGTTAATTTAGAGTCTGTTTTCCCCCTGTGAAGAAAGTGGCTGCCATCACATTGGTGGCCGTGTAGTTACCAGGCTTGGTGGATCTGATTGACTTAAAGGAGGCTGGCTGTAACTCTGCAACATGGAGACCAGCATATGTGGAAAGTGCACCTCCACCCCTCTGTGCTGTGGTCAGAAGAAATACTGGGTTATGGGTGTATAGTGTATCATCTGTGTTGTAGCAGCACTGAGAAAGCACCATTCTGCAGTGCTATAAACATGTGGTTTTGTGGAACTAGTTGGGCAGGCAAACGATTGGCAGTGGTATTGCTAAAGAAATTAATCAGAAATTAATCATTTATTTTGGCGATTCTGCTGGAGTTCTAATTAGAGGCTGGTGGGTACGTTGTAACACAGTGTAAAAAACAAACGGCAAAAAAACACAACAAAGTCTGTTTTGATCTTCACCCACTGGGTTCTGTTGAAGTTCTGAAGTGGATGCCGGTGTACTCGTTCTGTGGTTAATGTCAGTTAATCTTTTGCAATGTTACCTCTTATTTTTAAGGCCTGTGCTTTTTCAGCAGTGCAGCGAGGCTTTGCTGTGACTTGTAGGAACAGAATTGCAGAACGGAATTTGCTGTTCCAGGTCTGGCTTACCCCAGGACTGAGAGCTCTGTCTGAGATGGATCACAGTGTTACAGAGCTGTAGCTGTGTTTTATTCCAGATGATCCAGACTGTCGTGTTTCTCTGACTTCTAGGTCTGGTGGAGGGAAGGATTACGGTGCTCTGCTGGGTGCCTTTTTGTAGCACTTCTGAAAAAAAAGTTGTGGGGTTTTGGTTTCCTTTTTTTTTTTGGTCTATTTATTCTTGAATGGAGAAATGAATGTAAGTCTTCTCTTGTGCCTCCCCAGGAAGAGGAACTGTATGCGTGCCAGCGAGGCTGCAGACTGTTTTCCATTTGTCAGTTTGTGGATGATGGCATCGATCTGAATCGAACCAAACTGGAATGTGATTCTGGTAAGAATTCAGAACTCCTTTAACATCCCTTAATGTGGAGATGCAGGCAGGGAACGGCAGCAGCATCTGAAGGATGTTGTTAAAATGGTGGGATTATTTCAATTGCTTCCATGCAACTTCAGGCTCATTTATAGAAGCGAATTGTTCAGATGAAGAACAACTATCACAATGTACATCTGCCTTGTAACTTGTGGTCTAAGCTAAACTCTCAGCACAGCAATAATTACGTTTTGTTTGAAATAGGGATCTAAATACTTATGACTAATTGTCTCAGATCTGTGTTAGAGGGATAATCTCATAGTGAAGGTGAAATATATAGATGCTGTAGCCAATTACCACAGTTTCTGCAGTTGTACAGAACTTCTATGTAATAATACTGAGGTGGCTGCTTAACAGTTTTGTTCAGAGATGAAGTGGGATGTAACCAGCCAAAGCAGGAAAATCAGCAGAGTAGCTCCCTTCTGTTTCTGAAATATAATGAGGACAACATCAACTCTCAGAGGAGGCTTTTGTCTTCTCAGTAATTCATAAAAGCAAGAGGGCTAGTGGTTAGCTTAGGGAGCTGCTGGAAGATACACAAGGAGAAAGCCTGAAATGCAAAGATGTTACAGCAATACAAAGCCATATTAAATGCTCTAGAAATGGGCTAGTGCTCTAGTCTGTCATACAGTGTGTACTGCTGTGATACAGCATGTCAGTTTAGTTGTCAAACCATACAAGAAAGTGTGCCACAAAAAGGGTGATGTAGCAGTAAGGCACACGTAGAGGTAATTGAACAGTTGCTTACTTTCTGATTTAACTCTCCTTTCTGAGGCTGTTGTCTTTTGCTGGCTTATGTTCTGTAATCTGTGGCACTGGTTGGTTCCCTGACTAGTTACTCAGGCAGGATGTACCTTGGCTGACTTGCTGAATTCTGTCTTCTGATGTCTCTGCATGTCTCCTAACACCAGCTTGGTGGCACTTTTGCTGTAGAATTGCTGTTCAGGTGCTGTGAGCCAAATACTCCAATGTTTAGCTGCTGATGCTGTGTGAATTGCCAGCTTTCCAGCCTCTCTGAAGGTGCATTTATTCCTGTAGGAAAACTGGGAGAGCTGCTGCACTCCGTGTTGCTGCTTAAGTGGAGGCTTTAGGTGGAGTGGAGCTGTAACATCATCCATCTCAGCTCTAGTATTTTGGGAAAGAGCTATGCCCATGTATTGTCCACCTATGAACGTGAACAGTTTAGATTTCTTGGTCTTCAGGGTTTCTAGCGAACAATTAATAGAAGATACATGTCAATAAAGAGTTGGCTTCATTTAATTCTTGTTCAAAATTAAATCATCAATGCTTTCAACACAGTTACTTACTGTGCTAGCAGGAAAATGTTCCTTAGGTTTTCCTAAGGAATACCATGATTTCCACTGTTAGCTCTGAGAGGTTCAGTACATCTGTGGCCTCTCTATTTGTTTAGTATTCCAGCTTTGTTCTCTAGGATAAAGTAGTAAAAATGTTTTACGTGATCTGTAGAGGAAAAAATGCAGTGGCAGTAGGAGAATCAGTGAAAACTTGCAACCTTGAGTTTGCCCAGAACATTTCTGATCAGTTGCTCTGACAGCATTCAGATTTAAAATATGTGATTTGTGTGAGCTCCAATTCCTTAACCTTCGTTAGACCTGGCACCAAATGCTAACCTTGGAATGATATTCGTGTCTTTCCCTACAAATGGGATTGTCAATCTTTTAACTGCTGCTTTGTTTCTGATCCAACTTATGTTGAAAATGTTTTCTTAACTAAAATGCAGAATTTATCTTCTCATTTTGGGAACTTTTCTTGCAGCCTGTACTGAGGCGTACTCCCAGTCTGATGAACAATATGCTTGCCATCTTGGATGCCAGAACCAATTGCCATTTGCTGAGTTAAGACAAGAGCAAGTAAGTACATGACATGTTTTTCAAATACCACCTACTTGTTTTCTGCTCAGCACGTCTTCTCTTCTTTAAAATTCTTCAAATGAAATCTTTTTAAGAACTGAAATATAGACATGGGGAAATGAGTGAGCAAGAACATAAGTTCTACCCTCTCCATATGAAAACAAATTGAAAGCCAGTTAATGTTGTATTTGCAGTTAATGTCCCTGATGCCAAGAATTCATCTCCTCTTTCCTCTGACGCTGGTGAGATCCTTCTGGAGTGATGTGATGGATTCAGCTCAGAGCTTCATAACATCCTCATGGACGTTCTACCTTCAAGCAGATGATGGCAAAATTGTCATATTCCAGGTGCCTGCCTTTTTGTTGAGGTGTTGTGGGTGCTGAACACTTATCTGTGCTCCTTCCAGTCTCAGAAAATGGTCGTGGGTCGCTGTCAGAAGTGTTGAGTTTTTGGTAGCATTTTGCTGCATTTAGTGCCATTACAGGGGTAATAAATGAATAAAATTATGTGAATGGAGCATGTCTTATGATCAGCTTCCCTATTAATTCTGAAAATGTGGACGATCAAGATTAGTGGAAGCTTGCTAACAGGATCTCTTAATCCTTGTTTTGTTTTAGTCGAGGCCAGAAGTGCAGTATGTTCCACAGCTTGATCAGGAGACTGAAGGTACAAGAGGATCCTTGTCCCTGAGTAAAACAGCTTGTAAGTTTTTCTTTCTGGTTTGGAGGAGCATGCAAGGAAAACAAACAAACAAACAGAAAAAACAACAGAGCCAAAGTTGCAGGTGATATATGAAAGCAAGTTTTTAGAAAGCTGAAGTGTAATTGGTTGCAATGGGTATTAGCAAGGTGTGTGGTGGTAGCAAGCTCTCCTGGAAATAGAAGCATGCAAGCTAGGGCCACTGTGAGAGATTTTTTTTCATGCTTTCTGTGGACAAACTGGATAAAGTTTGGGTTTTCTACCTTTACTGCTTTTCTGACAGCTATTTCTGCTGTTCAATTCCAGCAGACCCACAGCCAGGAAGCTCGCAGACGTACCGAGGACTATTTGAAGAGCAAGGCAATGAGAGCTTTTTCAAGTGTCTTTCCATGTATGTATGTCAGTACCTGGAACAGGGCACGGTGGTGTTTCCTACGTGTGTGGTGGCCCTGTGGGAAGGAATCAGTGTTACGAGTCCTTTAGGTTCAGATAGAAAAGCAGCCAAGTTTCTGTATCTGACCATTTGCTATTGCTGCGTTCCCTGCTTGCCCTGTGTTATCTATGGGCTGTCCTGCCAACTTTCATTCTCTCTCCCATTTTAGTTAACCATGATACTGATAATTTCCTACGGTTATTTTTTATGTGGAACATGATGTTTGTACTCGTTTTTTGAGTATATTCAGCAAACTGTTCCATCAGTTCTGTGTTTTGCCTGTTCTTTAGCTCTAGATATGTTTCAGGACATAACACTTGTATTTTTAAATGCAAAAGGCAATGTTGTGTCTCGTGTCTATCCTGGAAATGCCCAGTATATATTAAAGTTTTGCTGCATATCAGCATCTTGCCTCTTTCTTCTCTCAGTCACTGATGACTGTTTCCTTAAAAGCTTAGATGTGGTGGATCAGTGAACTGCACCTTAAGTGCATAACAAAAATCTGTTCTTACTGTCTTAAGTGGGAGGAAGTTCAGGGCCCCAAACCAGGATCCAGCAGTCTTTTAGTATCTTTCAAGTTAGATACTAAGTGTTAGATGCTATGTTATATACACAGGTGTCAGAATTAGGCTGTGCAGCTGGGGGAGAGACTAGTGAAGGAGCATGAAATACAGTCAAAATTGGGCACAACCTTTTATAGACCCGTTATTTTGTATTCTGGTATATGAAATCTAGTAACATTCGTTTCATTTCAGAAATTCCAGTTGGATTTTAACCACTACACTTGTCCTGTCGGTGCTGGTGCTGCTCTGGATTTGTTGTGCAACTGTAGCTACAGCTGTAGAGCAGTATGTTCCATCTGAGGTAACTCTATTATGTTACAGCTTTCTACAGAATAATAAGCATCGTGGGGGGTCAATTAGAGTTTTTTACTTTGCAGATGTGGTTAGCAAACAAATTGTTGTTTGAATGATTTTCTAGCTGAACGTCTGCCTGTCCCTGCGGCTGATAGGTGCTCTGAGCCTTGCTCAGTAAGCACAGATGCTGTCTTCTGGCTTATAGCCCTGCCTTCTTAGCAACCTCTGGGTTACTCTTCACAAATGGAGGTTGCTTCTGGTTTCCCTGAGAATTGGATGGGGCAGGTGGCAACTAGTATGGATTTAATTCAGGAGCATCAGTGGTGAGAAGAGAAGTGACAGCGTGTTGTTGGTGACTGCAGAAAGTCTGTATGAAGGGGAACCAACTGAACTAGCATTCCTACAGCCCAAAGAGAGCAAAGCTTGCAGTGTTTGCAAGCTAAAGAGTTTGGTACACAAGCACTGCATGTACTGTTTCTTTCCTCTGGCATTTATTTGGACTTAAATCTAGTCTCAGCCATGAATTTCAGATGTTGCAGAAAGTGTGAGTTAGCTTGCATTGAAGAGCTGCAGCTATGAAAGAGGGTAGTTGTGTAACAAAATGCAATTGATTCATATATGAAGAGTCTTTATCTTAAAGTAGTTCATTTAAATATTTCAGAAACTGAGCATCTATGGAGATCTGGAATACATGAATGAACAAAAACTGAACAGATATCCATCCTCTGCACTTGTTGTGGTTAGATGCAAGACTGAGGAACATGAAGAAGCAGGACCTCTTCCTACAAAAGTTAATCTGGCTCAATCAGCAATTTAAATAAGCCTCCATTGGATTGAATAGACTAATTCTAACTGTGCTAGCAACTCCTGATTGTTTGTGGTGGTTCTTCAGATAAGAAGCTTAGCAGCAAGTCTTTAAATGCAGATAAAATTACAGAATCAACAGATGTCATGGTTTTTTTTTCCCCTCTAGTAGTGAAGATTCAGACACCTTGAATTTGTTTCCAGACATAATCACTTTCCACTGGTGTTTGCTCTGTGTCTTTTTGCTTACAGAAGCTGTAAGCACGCTTTCCATGTTTCTGCCATGACACTTTCAAACTTATTTGTGTATTCTAGGATATACTGTGTACATTCAAGAGTTAGCTCTGTAAAGATATAAGAAATTTTAAGTAGGCAGGAGATGCCTTTTTAGTGTTGCACTTTCTGTTGTAGTTAAGAGAAAATATTATAAAATTATCTGCTGTTCTTTTTTTGGGGGGTGGGGGGTACCTGTGAATGTTCATGCGCAAACAGCCCTTTCTCCAAGAACAGAAATCTATTTTTTCTACCGTGTGGCAATATCCAGGATGGAAAGCATTTGTGAAGTACTGTAGGCTAGAACTCAGTTTGTGGAAGGTGGAAGATGTGTTAAAAACATGTGGGCATATGCTTTCACAGACAGAACATTACATGGTTAATTAAATGTCAGACTGTAGCCTTTACATCTCAGATTGCTTGTAAAATTAGAGCCTGTGTTTTCCGAAGGAATTCTACTTTCTGTTCTTGATCAACTGTTCTAGTCTTGTAACTTCATTTACAGAAACAAGGTGATTCCTGAGAAATGAGGACAGGTGAATAAAAACGACTGTATAGGAATTACTGACTGTACAGCCTTTAGCTGTGGTTCGTTATTGCTTTGCTCCATCTGAAAGGCTGGCATTCCTCCCGTTGGCAATGTGAGCTGATTTTGCTGTGTGTGATTCACTAATACAACACCTAACAGTGTCCTTCACATTTCTAATGTATTTTGTTGCCATTCTTTTCTTTGAGGATTTGGCTATAGCAGATGTATGATTTATTTTAAGGTCTCTTTGTAAGCATTTGATAGAATGCATGACGCCCAGCTCATCAGCATGGTTTGTTGGTTGTACCAACTCTGGTGAAAGTTTAAAAACAAGCAAACAAACAGCTGTCTTCCAGTTTTGAGTTCTGGTGAAAATCTGAGATTCTGGGGAGTGCAGTCCATCGTTCCCTTTCTGTTAGATCTGGTTCAGTAGCCATGGCTGATGTGGCTGCTGGTTGTGTGAGCTGCAGGTAATGATCCGTGCAGGAACGTGGTGGTTGCCTATACAGTGCTGCTGGAAGTTGTGTCTTAGGTGCACTGAAGCAAATTTTCTGTCAGTGAATTATAAGAGTATGCAGAGGTTTGTTTTAAACAGGCACATATGGGTGTACAGTAACTGTAATATGAAGTCTTAACTTAGTAGTACCTCTGGATGTTAAATTCTTCAGTGAGCAACACTGCAGCCCTGAAAACTGAGTGTGGGCAGCCATGGACGTGTACCTTTCTTTGTGTGTTGGTGGCATTACTATAAGGCCTCAAACCCTCCTGTTCTGAAAACCATGTGTGTGTTCAGAATGCTGTTCCACGGCGTAACAGCAATGGGAAATCCCTGCTGTAGTGACTGGGCTGAGGCACACAGCCTCAGAATGCAGCCCTGTGTCAGTACTGAGTGCCAGCGTTCTGCTGCCGGTGGGATCAGGTGTGATGTGTGCAAATGGCTGTTTAACAACTTGTAAGCATGGGCTTGGCAATTGTAGCCCGTGTTCTCAGCAATACTTTGTTCTGGAAAGCCTTTAGCAATCCCTTTAATTCTTGTAATTGAGTAAGTGACATATAGATGTGTTGGAGTCTGTTAAAATATTTGAACTTACTGTTGCATGTAGTTGCAGAGGGAGTGTTATGGCTTCACTAATCCATGGCTATTTCTGTGTTTTAAATATGTACATTACAGCCTCTGTTACCTTGATGATTTCTTCTCATAATCGTGAAACTTTCCCTCCTGTTCCAAAATGTCTGACTTTATTGCTTACATTCCTAGGTTTGAATTAAACAAACTCTGCTTTCATTTGGCATTGTGTCTGCCTACAGGTCCACAACAAAGGGAGAAAACTCAACAAATAGATCAAATAAAAGTTCTGTGTGTTTTGTCTTTTGTTGGCTGTTTAATGGCATTTCAGTAGTGTGCACAGTGTCACCCATGATTCAGTAATGTGCTGTTAGGTACAGGAAGCAATGCCTGTACAGTGACATTTAGCTTCGCAGCTTGCCAAGTGCACCAGGTCTAAAGACATTGTTAAGAGGACTTGTAAGCTCGTGTCAAAGCATATTCCTTTAGTATTATTGGATACTACCATTAGGTTGCAGTAATGGAGCTGTTTCTCAAGATTTTGAATCTAAATGGAGTATTTAAGCTGTTTCAGTGTTGGACTTTGCAAAACAGCTTGTCCTATTTTTATTTTTTTTGTTTAACTTCCTAACGTCTTCGTTCTCAGAGGCTGCAATTTGGGTTTGATCTCTGCCCAAGACCACTATTTAAATGAAGGGCTTTAAGTGATTGAAATTGCAGGAGGAAAGCATTTTCTGTTCTCTTTAGGCATACATTCCATTGAACTTGCTTCAGCTCTTAAATTCAGTCATCTTGACATGAGCAAAGGCATCTATCTCAACGTGTGCAATTAATTGCTGCAAGAAACAGCTACGGTACGTTTTGGGGAGGGGGTTAGGTTTTGTGGTTTAGGTGATGGAATCAGCAATAGTCTTGCATCATGCATGGTATGTTCATCTTTGTTCCCCTGTCAGCCTCCCTGATCTTTGGCAAAGATCTTCAACTTCAGAAAGCCTTGCTTGTGTTCGTTACCGTGTTCTCGTTAAATTCTTGAACTCGTGGTCTGATGTGGTGTAACTGCTCTAAACCCAACTACCTGCTTGGTTACAGCTGAGCTTGATAACCTTCGTGTAGGAAATAGGTCATGGTGGGTGTCTGGTCTCACAGGCATTTCCCTCTGAAAGCTGATTTACTCCATGTCTTCAACATTTTCATTACAGATTGTTTTGTGGGGTGTGCATGGGAAGCCTGGTTGGTCTGGTTGTTACGTGTGACTCTAACCAAGCTCATTATCACCTAAAAAGCTATTTTAAGGCTTAAAATATTCATTCTATAGTGATGATTAGGAATTTGAACTTTCTCCATAGAGAGAAGCAGATCTGGAATTTGATAGCATTTTTAACCTTTTATCTAGTACTGTTCCATGGCGTGGGTGCCTAGAGTTGCAGACCTGGTGTACTCAGAATCCCCTCTGAACAGGACAGCTTCCTGGCACAGAGTTTAGCAGTGATACATTCCTGTGAGAAACTGGGACAAGTGAGCGTTGCCACGTTGGAGGAAGAGGTCTACAAGGTTGTGTTTGATTTTGGAAGTTCTCTAAGTGGGTGTGTATGGGGTTGGCAGGTGTTGTCAGGAAACATGTAATAACTCAGTCAGGAATAACTTGTGTGTTTGGGGATGCAGAAGGAAGTAGCAACAATTGTTGCTGTGTCAGGCATCATTTGTTGTTTTGAATCAGTTAATTTAGTGAGACTGTCTTGGTGCCAGCTTTTAGGTCATAACAGCTGCCAATTTCTCCCAAGTCATGGTAAAGTAGTTCTTTGAGTGCTTGGGCTGAGGATGGGGGAGGCATGTTGCTTCCAGGGTGGCAATAATTCAGAGTGCTTGAGTCTCCAATGCAGGAGCGAATTCTTCTGTCAGCAAGTGGGACATGAACCTATGCTATTTTGTCCTTGAAACTGCAAAGCCTATGGGTATATCCTGTCCTGCTCTTGCAGGAGCCTGGGGTTATGTTGCTACAACACTAGTGGGTTAGCCCTGGTTTGGGAAGGAGCTGGGGAAAGGTGTTTTGGGTGAGGGTGATCCGACTCCATTTCCTCAGGCTTTCAGTTCATTCTCTTCAGTACCTGGCTGGCATTGAGTGCAAGCTGTGTCAGCTGGGTGGTGGGCATTCATCTTCCACATGGCAGGACAGCAGTGGGGCTGTCAGCATGGGAAGTTCCTGTTTGCCTCATACCCTGTCATGAAGCCAAGGTGAAGCTGGGAGGAGGGAGAAGCCAAAGAAGCCCTGCTTCCAACCAGAGAAGGGGCTCAGCCTGCCAGCCCTGTCCACCTGTCCACATGCCTGGGCAGCACAGTGCTTCTTGCTTCCCTCCCTCTGTTGCTTTTTGTGTCCTGGTAACGTTGCTTATGTTAGAGACCGTATATGTTGGTAACATGGCTGCATTTTAGGGTGCAGAAAGCTTCCTGTGGTCCTCTGAGCTGCTCTGAAGGCTGTAGCTCCAGGAGGAATGAACAAAACTCACCCCCAGGTACGGTCCTCTTCATGAAAATGTTGTGTTCTCTAAAATTCATGTGTTCTTGATAATGTTGTTTGTCTGATCTCTCTATCAGTGGCTTCTAAGTTTTCCAGTCCTGTCTACTTCACCTAATTTGATATGAAAGGGTATTGGTACAGCTTTACTGGCATCAAGTGCTGGACTTGCCTCAGTGTTTGTTGTGCAAATGGGTTACTGAAATCTGAAAAGCAATCTGATTGCTCTGTGAACCAAATGCAGGCTGTGTTTCCACTGAGCCAACTTTTGTTTGTATGTAAAATATGTATATCAGTACTTACCCGTGTCCATTCCTGGATGAGATGGTACCAGAACCAGAAAAGCAACCACGGCGTGCTCACGTGCTACGTCTGGAAATGGTGTTTTATTCTTTCACTTCTAGAGAAATGGTGATGTAACTACTTTTGATTCAGCCAAGTCCTCTGAAGAACAAGGTAACAAAATGCCAAGCTTAACATTTTCGTTATTGAATTCTAAATCAGTGGAGCCTATCTCTGTAATGTAAAATGCAGGAAGTATTTATGGTGTGTTGAGACTGTTGTGTTTTTTCTTTTCCCCAGCCCTCTGTAGTGAAACATCCTGACTAAAATTAATAGACTAAAGATGCTTTTTGCTGGCCTGGAGGTGGCAGACTTATGGTATAGCATCGTGATATGTATTCTTACCTTTTACAAAAGAGGCTCATTATGGAATTTCTACGGGCTTTCTATATGTTTTAATAGCTAGGCTTCAGCAAATTTTATTTAAGAAGAAAGTGAGATCACATGCAGTTGATAATAAGTCTGCAGATTGGCTTGCGACAGCATTTCCTCACTGCCATTAATTTACACTCGTGCCTATTTGCAGCCATTCTGCCTACTGGTCAAAGGTATTGTCCTGTGAACTGCAGCATGTCTGTGTCTACCACTTGCCTTTTAAGCTGCAGTGTTCTGCCTTTGATTCGTACTTGTGTTTGATGTGGGGGATGGTTACTGCTTCTTTGAATCCCTTTGCAGTTGAGCAAATGGTGTGTCTTACACTCGTACAACACATAGCAATTAAGTACATGAGGTACAGCTAAGTAATCCTGGCTTTTAGATCAAAGCCTGTTGCCTCCCACCTTTGCTTCCCAACAGGCTGCTGCCGGCCATGCTGTGCCCACCTGTGCTGCCCACCGAGACGGGCCTGCGTTGTGCTGCTGCTCCTGGCTGCCATAGCAGCCATTGTGGGCCTGGCAATCGCACTGGGACTGCAGCTACGTACACCGGGTTGGTCCCCAAGAGTCATTATTAGCGCAGTGAGGGAGCCCTGTTGCTATGGGGGTTGTTCCCCATACCAGTGAACATGACAGTGTCAGAAGATAGTATTTCTTGCTTTCCTTTCAGTGAACCGCCCCTGTGTAGCCACCCATAACTGGACAGGCTTCTTGTGCAATGACAGAGTGACCTGCATCCCAGCCAGCCAGGTCTGTGATGGAACTGCCAACTGTAGAAATGGAGAGGATGAGCAGGAGAAACTCTGTGGTGAGCTGTTCTGTTCTGATCCTCCCATACTGGTCTTCCTATTGATCTCCAAAGATCTGCCTCACCTACGGGGCCATTCGTGAAGCACTTTGGTGCTGCCTGTCCCTGTTCCGACAGGTACATCTGTACCTGCAGGAGCTCAGCCTCTGCCCTTGCAGGTGACCTGCCCCGCAGCCTGCCGGCATACCTGGTTTTCCACTGTGGTAACCCTGAGCACTGGGTCTATGCTGACCAGAGGTGTAATGGGATGAACGACTGCGGAGACTGCTCCGATGAGATGGGGAGCTGTAAGTCTGCCTTTGGGCTGTGCTTAGTGAAAGATCTGCTGATAGCTTGAAGAGGTTTTGTGGGGTTGGTGCTCACTGGTGCTCCTGGAAAAGTCTGGAGGTTGGTGTCCTCTGAAACACAAAACAGAGACAAAACACGTGGGCTTCTTCACATCTGTGGCCAAAGGCTGGAGGCAGTTGAGAGGGGAGACACTCCATGCTTCAAAAGGCTTTTCCAGCCTAAATGGCACTATGATTCTGTGGCTGTGATGCTTAAGGCACATGGTGTAGTGGTGGGACTTATCGGGTTGACATGAATTGGTAATCTTTAAGGCCTTTTTCAACCTAAATGATTTTTTGATTATTTGTTCCCAGCCCCAAAAGTCATTCCATCTTTGTGACTTGCTGAGCACCAAGCAATTTCATCTCAATGTGGATCTGTAGACAGCACCAATTATTCAAAACTGATCTTTGGTCAGGAGATAAGTTTGTCTGTAAGACCGAGGGGGACTGAGTGTGCACCTCTGTGATTTAAATCCAGCTCCGCTCAAACTCGAGTAGCAGGTTTGCTCCTAAGTCACCCCTGAGATTTTGAACCTCAGACAGCACCTTTCTCTAGGGTGGCTTGCTAAACAAACAAATCACAGCTGGTCATTGCTCCCAGGATGCCATCTCTGCCACAGAGGTCATCGCAGTGTCTTTCTGGTCGATTCACAGACTCAGGGTCATCCCTGGTGGCTTCTCAGTAGCAGCTGTGGAGTTAAAAGGTGTAAGGGAGGAGGTGCCTGTGAGTGCAGCAGCATTTTTCTTCCTGGTTTCTTGTCCCCGCAGTGGCTGCCTGCCCTCCCTGCGGCCCAGCGTGGTGGAGCTGCAGCCCTGTTCACTACAAGTACTGCTCCTGTGTGCCCAGGGCACTGTGCAGCGATGGTGTGCAGCACTGCGTGAGCTGGTCGGATGAGTACCTCTGCAGGCCGTGAGGTCTGGGCACCAAGAAGTGTTTGACATGGCGAGGTGCTTCCTGCACTGTCACTTCCTGCTGTGCCTCCACCCTGGAAATTCTGGCACAAGCAGGCCCAGGTGAGCAGCTGCAAAAGGCCTGCAGCAGAGATGGGTGCTGTGCTGCTGGCATCCCGGTGCTGCAGGCCGGGCATCAGCTGTGGGACACCTCTGTGGGTTCTCCTGAGCACCTCTTGGGGCTCTGAGGGTGCAGAGTGGCAGCTTGGTGCTTAATGAGCAGCTGTTGGACTGAGATGTGTTGTAGAGCAGTTAGAAAGTGAAAAAGGAGGGAAACAAAGTCTGTTGCATCCTTGGAACTGCGAGCAGAGGAAAACCAAGAGCTGCTGCCAGGCCATGGGATGACATGGGATCTGCTCAGTTTGCTCCTCTGCTGGTGCTGCAGGACCAGACAGCTGCCTTCACAGCACCCACGAGATGTAGGTACAGATGTGTCATTGAAATGTAAGAAAGCTGTGGTCTTTCTCTCTTCTTTTGAAAACCTTGCCTGTGTCTGAAACATCAATCCCAGATCTAGTGTTCCAGGCCCCAAAAAACCACTGGGCATTATTCTTCCTGCGTGCCAGCTCATAGATCTTCAAAAATAAATCCTGGTTCACTCATTTCTTCTCTGTCCTGTGATCTGTAACTCGGCATCTCTCCATGACTTGTATAAATAGTGAATGTTTGTTCTAATTTGTAGCTGGGATACAGCCATAGCTCTGAAAGATCCTTTAAAAATAGCTGCACTGTGTTCTGACTCATGCTTTTACCTAGAATGAAACGGCAGAACTCAGCACAATGGTACTGTGGAGATGTTTAGAGCCATGTTTAATAACCTGTCCGTTTCCATGCCACGTAGGACGGCTGGCTTGCTTTCTCTGTGTTGGTACAACATCACTGCAGTTTGCTCAGTGCTGCAGCTCAAAGAGTGGTTGGAAGTATCTTAGGTAAATGTTTCTCACATTCAGGCTACCACCCTCTCAAAAAAAAAAAGAGATAGAGCTGTACATTTTTGCTAGAAAAATCACTGGCATCTAACATTGCAACGAGGCTGATTTGGGGTTGGTAAATTCTGGCTTCTTGTAGTCACTGTGGTTGGGAGGAGGATGCTGGTCAGGCTGGCCCACGTGGCGCTGCTGGATTCCCCAGTGCATGTTTGTCAGGTGGTGCAGCAGCTCCCCTCTTCGGTGGTGGATCTGTGCCTTGGAGCTCTAAAGTGAGATGCTGAGGACAGCAGTAAGTGTGCTTGAGTCATTCTTGGATAAAATGTGCACAAGGGTGTGTTGAAAAGGGGAAGTCTGTCAGTCAGCACGCAGAGCTAAGGAAAGGGCTAATTTTATCAGGGATGGAGAACACAAGCACACTGCTTTAAAACACCTCTTTTGAAAAGTGAGGCTATACTGTATTGTTTTCCTGATGCTCCTGTGACCTGACAGGCTCTCCATGCCAAGTCACAACGTGTCTATTTGGTGTGTCAGAGCCCCAGCTCCCAGCTGCTAGACTGAGGTGAGGCGGTACACGCAGTTCTGTGAGGTGGGCAGCTCTTCATGGTCACATTAGCAGATGGTAATTGTGGAAGGTCTAGCAAAGCAAAAATAATCCGTGCTGGCTGATGCACCAAACTGCAGCTGCAGGAGCAGCGCTGGGCCTGAGCGTCACAGCCTGTCGAGCTGTTCTGCTAAGTCACTGTTTGTGCTGTTATTTGCCTCAGATGAGGGCTGATGTCTTCAGTGGACGCTATAAATAGTTTTGAGTTTCTGGGAAAAAATGTAGGGCCTGAATGTAAGTATGCTTGTTTGTTTGTAGTCCTTCTTTGAAGAAACTTCAGCACTAATGGAGCAAAGTGAGAAAGGCTCTTCTCTCATCTCTCTGCACTCTCGAGGCAAAGTTCCCTTTCTTGGCATCTTTGCCATTTCCAATGATGCACTTCTTTTGTTGTCACTTACTCTGATAAAGGCTGTGTAACAGATCCTCTAACTAAGCACCAGTAGAGGAAACCTGTTGAAGTTCTCAGCCTTAAAGGACACAAAGAAGCTCTCAGGCTCAGTTCACAGCCCCTGTGTACTTTACTCAGTTTTGATTTGATTCCTGTGTGTTTCTGTGACAAACCTGTAGCGTTACAGCTCTACAGCTCTACTCCTGGCTTTGTGCACACTAATGCAAAATGATTCTGAGGATTAAAAGGAGGGATACAGGGGAGTTCTGTTTGGATTTCTGCAGTAACTACATAACCAAAGGGGGTTACTGTCTCTGCTTTGTTCCCTCCCCTGCGGCCTGCGCTTATCCTGTTTGCTTCCTCCCTTTGTCAGAGCTGTCAAGCACAGCTTCATGCTTACAGGCTGAGCTTTCTATACTACCAGCACTATTAAAGGCCCGCTGCACTTAACATGCATAGTGCACCTTTATTTCAGCTAGGTTGATTAGTCTTCTGCCCCTAAGGTAACAAGAGGGGTGAAGGAATTGGAGCAGCATTTTTGTGAACGTCTGTGTCAGAAAAATGAGTTAAGGATGACACTAAAAACTTTATTTGAAAAAAATTATGTATTGAAAATATACAGTAGAATCACCATTCTCTTCATTGACCCTGCCCCTTCCTCCCCAAGCATAGGTTAACCCACAAGCCTATCACAACAACCAGATGTAACAATACTGCTCTCCTTTGTTACTGCCTTTGGATGCATCTAAACTCTGTCATCAGCAAGAAAACAACAAACAAAAGATCCTGTTCTTTCTGACTCAGTAGGTATTTAACAAATCCCAGTCCTCCACAGTGAGGCACAGATGCTTCTGTTTAGAAGTCCTTTCTCTCTCTTGTTCTGCCAAAGCTCTCTTTTTATTGTTCTTTAATTCATGGCTGCCTGCAACATCCTTTTTCAAAGGTAAATGGCAATTTTGAACGTCTTCCTTATAAAACTGTAAGTTTCCAGATACTTTTGTTTCTGCTTCCACCAACTTACGTTTGACCACTTCCTCTATTCTGTGTGTCTTGCCATCTAGAGAGGGGGGAAAATAAAAGTTTAGATTTAGGGAAAATTAGGATTATGCTGTAAAATACACACTTATGTTGCAAATTATTCTGGCTAAGCCAACCTGGAATACTGACTGCTCATAGACAACGATTAAATGCTGTGGTCTCTATGCAGTTACGTACAGAAGCGCTGAGCTGCTGTTCTGGAACTCAAGTCTTCTTGTGGCTTCGTGGCCTCCATAACTGCCTGCTCCCACTGCAGAACTGTCTGAAATAAGATTTGAAGGAGTCGCTGTAATGTTCATAGAAATATCACCAAGAACTACTCTATCCCTTGCAATATTCTATTCAGTGATTTAATATCCCACAGGTATTAAGTTAGGACAATTTCCATGGAGTAAGATAGATTTAAAGCTCCATACCTGTTCTGCCCATCCCTCTGTTTTGCAGTTACTATGATCAAATTCTTTCAGAGGCACTTTTGATTGAACTAAGCCCATCTGCGTTTGGATCCGTTTAACAACAGCATTCACATCCTAGTGAATGAGGAAATAAAACAGTCAGAGGGGGGAGCATTTGATTGCACCTGTCCAATAAATTAAGCTCTCTCACCTTGAGGCCTGTCCCAGAAATGTCCAAACAGTTCAACTTCTTGAAACAAAGAAGGTATCCAATTCCCACATCTGTGATTCTAGGGTTACCTGTAAGGTTAGTTAGTTAAGTTGCAGTATGTGCAGAGTTATGGTCAGAACACCAAGAAGCTACTTGTTCAGAAACTAATATTTGAGCATTCTTGGCCTTTTTTTCTTGTTGTTTGGAAACTGAGTCAAATCCGGTATTTTCCCTCTAATAATCAAAAGACAGGTTTTACAACACTACTTAATGTAAATATCTTTAAGCATGTGAAGTGGCAAATGGCTGCACTTAGAGCTATGACCTCACGTGGAATGTTAGTGCTGAAACCTGGGGTTGGGTACTTGGCCTGTGGGAATTGCTAAATTATATGTATTCCATCAATACTAAGTAGAAATTCTTCACCAAACAGGACACGTTTTGCTACTACTACCACACCACAAAGCACTTACAGGACAAGTCTAACACCAGAAGGTTCTGAAGTCCCTTTTTCAGTACTCGTACTGGCGCCGTCATTCTGCGAAGGCCCGCGTCTGACAGAGCGTTGTCTTTCAGGAGGAGTTGTTTCACACTGAGAGGAGAAGTACAATAAATACAGTTTATAGTCATGTTGTTTAGACAGTTTCACCAATTGTCTTAAAGTCTATGTGGAAAGCTCTTCAGTAGATGATAAAAGCTTAACAATAATTAAAATAGTAAGAAAGAAGCTTGCGTTGGTGGGGGAAACAAATATTGCCATATTCCTTCTGCTAGCTCAATAGAAGCACTTGACCAGCTACTCCCAGAGCTCCAGCAACAAGCCAGCCCTACAGCATGAGTATTTACTACTAGAGACAAGAAGGTTGTTTATTAATTGGAGTTATTTAAATTAGGGCTGCCAATCTCCACTGGAGACTGTGAAAAGAAAAGTGCATGGTGAAATGGGAGCGGACAGATTTGTTAAGGGAGATAGTCATGATGTTTAAGTGAACAATGTGGTATTACCACAGATCAACTCAGGGAAAACCACAGCCGTAGAACATTCTTCAGAGCACTTCAAGACAAAACCTTGCCTCTAAATACACTGAAGTTTTTACACTAATACAATATCCTTCATCAGTGGCTTTTCTGCCTTCTGATTTCCCAAGTCTTCTACTTTCTAATCTTCAGAAAATAAGTTCTGCAATACTGTTTGATACTAAACTGTCAATTAATGAAATATTAGGCTTAGTGCTTGCAGGAATCTCCATCTGGCACACTGGTTAAAAATTTGGCTGATTAAAGTTCTCCCTTTAAAGAAGGAAATAACTGTGTGAAGCTGTTCCAAATGCACAAGGTGCATTTATTTTAGCTGACAACTGAAATTTACAAGAAGTTGATTTAAACATGAGCAGTCAGTTAACTTGCACATTGGTAGGACCTCTGAGATTCAGTGTGTCCTTTGGATCATGTGCTTTGTATGCAGTAAATTCTGTATTTTGTTTACCTCACGTGCAGGTTTTATCAACAACCCAAATCTTCAGACTTAAATGCTGCTGCCTGTGAAACTTTCCTGTAGAGTCACAGCCCGATGCTTGGCACTGTTTAGTAGTAGCAAAAGCAAACATCATTTCTTGACACATGTCAAGCAATGAGTACCTGGACAGAGCCTCTTTAGTGAGGTGTTCCAAAAGTTCATGTTCATCTCCAAGTTTACAACAGGAAAGATCCAAACACGTCAGCTCCCGGAAAGACTTGATTTCTTCCAGCTTTTCAGAGATAACCAGGTATCTGTAAGAACAAAAAAGCTATCACTGCTGAGGAACAACAAGGGCCCTGTGTTCTCAAATGCAAGCATAATGCAGTTATTTCTCACGCATCTGTGTAGAAGTTGACAGAAGTTAGTCAGCTGTTACAACTACCTTTGAACACTGCATTCTGCTTACAGCACACTTGAGCTCCCAGCCTTCTCCTTCAACTAATATCACACTTTCTTTGACAAAGTCCCAGACTAACGATTAAGACTTCAACTTGTAAGCATCGTTATTAGAGGCTTATTTACAGATCATTACCATATAATTTCAGGATAACATAGATTACCTTAAATCAACTTCACAAACTGCTGTTCCTTAGCATCCAGAAAGTGTGTAGACAAACCAACAGGCATAAAATCTGTTCCAGATGCATCAGAATGGCTTGCCAAATGATAAAAATGCTATTTTTTTTCGTACACAAAGTACTTCACTAAAGAAGTAGAGCAGTTCACTAGCTGGACTCTATCGTGACACCCACAGGGCTGCCTCCAACCAGAGTTGTGGCTACACCCCAGGCAGCACTTACACAGGGAGTTTTGGTTTTTTTTAGCTGTGTTGGTTCCCTGATGTGATTCACTCTGCAGCCACGCAAGCATCTGCGCTGGAACTATTCAGCAGATTTAGAAATGGGAATGCACTGAAGAATGGCATGCACGAATACATAGTAATATGAGTTACCCCATCTCTCCTGCATTTATGGCAAGATAATCCCTCAATTCATTAACATCTCCTGTATTTACCTCATAGCCCCCGTGTCAAGGCAATCCCTGAGGATAACATTTTGAGTGGTGAAATTACGGGTGCTAACTATGATCCCTGAAACCTTTTTGCCCATGCAAGTAAGAGCATTTTCTCTGTGCTGGTATCCATGTTAGAGCACTCCACCAAATCCCTTTGCTACACAACTCAGCTAGGTGGGAGGCAGCACGTGCAGTTAGAATGCAAGACAGTTCTTGATAGGTAATACAAGCTCAGAGGGCTTGCTAAGAGTGGGCTCTTAGAAATAAGACTCATAAAAAATGTCTTAGTGTCTTACTTTCTGGATTTCAAGGATTTTATATTTAACTGATCTTTTTGTAATGGTAAAATATGCCAGAGGTAATTCCATTTCTGAATGAAGCTCGTAAAAAGTACCTGCACTAAAAATAAAGAGGGAGTTCCATTGAAGGGATAAAACAAGGTAATTGACCTCTGCTCAAACTTTCCTGCTGTGCTTAAAGCACCCTTGGCACTTCAGATAAATGTGCCTGTCCTTTGATTTTAAACTGAATAAACCACCCTTTTTTAAAATGCAAAGATGGAAGGCAGACTCATTATATCACTATCCAAGACTTCAGTAGGAGCAAAGCTTTAAAAGCATGTCCAGTTTTAAGCTTCTTGAGACACTCTAGTAGTAAAAGAAACTGGGGACACTGACAAGGTGGAAAAAACGGTGCTGTATTCTAATCAGAACACCGTTAAAGCACGTTGAGTATGGGGACAGAATCACAGTTATCACTAAGGTAAAGCCTGCCCGACTACAAAGGCTGTACCTCACCTACAAAATTGCATCTTCTGCTGAAAATGAAATGAGCTAGAAAATGAAACAGGATTGGAGAGGATCCAGGAGGGCCACAAAGATGATCAGGGGACTGGAGCACCTCCACTACAAAGACAGGCTGAGGCAGCTGGGCTTGTTCAGCATGGAGAAAAGAAGGCTGCGGGTGACCTCAGTGCAGCCTGCAGTACCTAAAGGGAGCCTGCAGACAGGAGGGGAATCAATTCTTTGAAAGGGTAGATAACAGCAGGACAAGGGGAAATGGTTTTAAGTTGAGAAAGGGAAGATTTAGGTTGGATGTCAGGGGGAAGTTCTTTACAAAGAGAGTGGTGAGGTGCTGACAGCTGCCCAGAGAGGTTGTGGATGCCCCGTCCCTGGAGATGTTCAAGGCCAGGTTGGATGGGCCCTGGGCAGCCTGGTCTGGTATCAAATGGGGAAGTTGGTGGCCCTGCCTATGGCAGGGGGGGTTGGAGATTGATGATGCTTGAGGTCCCTTCCAACCCTGGCCATTCTGTGGCCATTCTGTGATTCTGTGTGAATAAACCCAGATGGTCTGCAAAGGTGTGTGCAGTCACATAACTATGAAATGCTCATAAGCAGCAGCTACAGAAACATCCCATGAAATATCTAAGGAGGCACTTGAAAGGAATGGTACAAAAGGAAGTAAGCAGTGTTAGACAAAGCAAGGCTCAAAATTAGGTGGCACCATGTGGCCCTGGAGAATAAATCTGTGGTTGAGAGAAAATAAAGAGAACTTGAAGCACGCCAGCAAAAAGCTCAGCAGATGCTGATGCGTCACGGAATGCACGTACCTGTTCCGCAAACACAGGGAGCACAGCACCAAGCTGCCGTACGCTTCAGTGAACTTCTGCAGAGCTCGCAGTCCCGTCACAGGCTCTGTGAACTTCTGCCTTGCTTCTGCGGCTGAAAAGAGCTTTTCAGCAATCTGCTCTGGGAAACCGACCAGCGAGTCGACGTGGTCAACGTTGTCGGAGATGTAGCCCAGCACCAAGCTGAAGAGGGACTTGGCCGAGTAGCGGAGGTTGCCCTCCTTGGTGTACGTGAAGATGAAGTGATCGGTCCTCGGCCTCCTCGCCCTGTCGTCCTCCCCGTTCAGACAGAGCTCCACAGAGAACCCCCCGGAGAACAGCCTGAGAGGCCGCGCGTTCCGGACGCCGCCCGCAGCCGGGCTCACCACGTGCAGCTGCCCACGTTCACGCACGTAGATCGGCCCGGCATCCGCGTGGCTTTCCGAGCGGAGCCAGTACGACATTCCCCTCGTGCCGTTCTGCAAAAAAGAAGCCGGAGGTGGGCAAAGCGCTGCCGGGGAGGCTCGGGAAAGGCCTCGCGGCGATCCCGGGAGCCCCGAGTGCGAGCAGGTGCGGGTCCCGGCCGCCACCGGGAACGGCGGGGAGCAAAGGGG